CCACCAAAATGGCCAAAAATGACCGATTTTTGATCAAAATGCATGGACTATAACCCACCAAAATGGCCAAAAATGGTCGATTTTTGATCAAAATGCATGGGCTATAGCCCACCAAAATGGCCAAAAATGGTCGATTTTTGATCAAAATGCATGGGCTATAGCCCACCAAAATGGCCAAAAATGGTCGATTTTTGATCAAAATGCATGGGCTATAGCCCACCAAAATGGCCAAAAATGGTCGATTTTTGATCAAAATGCATGGGCTATAGCCCACCAAAATGGCCAAAAATGGTCGATTTTTGATCAAAATGCATGGGCTATAGCCCACCAAAATGGCCAAAAATGGTCGATTTTTGATCAAAATGCATGGGCTATAGCCCACCAAAATGGCCAAAAATGGTCGATTTTTGATCAAAATGCATGGGCTATAGCCCACCAAAATGGCCAAAAATGGTCGATTTTTGATCAAAATGCATGGGCTATAGCCCACCAAAATGGCCAAAAATGGTCGATTTTTGATCAAAAAGCATGGGCTATAGCCCACCAAAATGGCCAAAAATGGTCGATTTTTGATCAAAATGCATGGGCTATAGCCCACCAAAATGGCCAAAAATGGTCGATTTTTGATCAAAATGCATGGGCTATAGCCCACCAAAATGGCCAAAAATGATCGATTTTTGATGAAAAAGCATGGGCTATAGCCCACCAAAATGGCCAAAAATAGTCGATTTTTGATCAAAATGCATGGGCTATAGCCCACCAAAATGGTCAAAACTCGTCGATTTTTGATCAAAAATCATGGTCTATAGCCCACCAAAATGGCCAAAAATTGTCGATTTTTGATCAAAAAGCATGGGCTACAGCCCACCAAAACGGCCATAAATGATAGATTTTGGGGTGTTTTTGAGTTCTTTTCATGGGTTATAGTCCATTAAAAATCACGATTTGGGTTTGTTTTGAGGAGTTTTCATGGGCTATACGCTTTTTGAAGTTTATTATAATGAAAGAACTCAAAGTTTATTTGCTTCAAATTTTTTTATTGTGTGTGATTTGTTGACATAGGTATGGGAACTAAAACTGACTTAATTTGATTTTTTTAAAAAAGAAAGATATATTTTCAGAAATCCATGAAACAAAGTGTAAGAAACATCGAAAAGACCAAGAAAATCTTGGACAATAAAAAGCAATAACGGGAAGTGTGTGAAATCGGATTTATGAAAATCCACCTCAATTGTTTGAATTATTAACTATCAAAATGTATTTACAACCTCACGATATAGGCTTCTTCACTACTTCATATTTATCGATTGTAATGTTGAACACCAAACATAGATTCGATTTATTTTATAACCTTCCCAGAAAAAACCCTCGGCGTCTCTTAGAACAAATAAATCGATAAATAGAATATAGTGAACGTTTCGTCACATTTGATACAAATTAGTTATGGATTCAATGCTACTCTCTCGGGATTCCTGTGCGGTGGTGTGCAACCATGTTCATTCTAGTACAGGATCCCAATAATTGTTCTCAATAACAAGTTGAATAATGTCGACCCAACTATCACAGTGTTCAGTCTGACTCCAAGTTCATGACGTTTCTATGACAACAAAGTCAGGATGATCTTCCCCCGTGTTTTCTTGAGTTGAGATACCGCTGACTCGTGTGAAACTCCCACAAGACTTTGCCCGTTGACAGCAATTATTTGATCTCCTCGCTTAAGTCGGCCATCRCGGGCCGCTGCGCCTGTAGGGAAGACAGTCTTGACGTAGATAGGCAAGTCACCATGAGGACTCCCATGACCTCCCACAATGCTAAAGCCCAGWCCCTCTGGACCACGCTCAAGCTCGATTATTTTGGTCTGAGGCGGACTGGAAATAAATCAAGAAATTTCATGAAAATAAGCCACGCAAGGAGGTTAATATTGTTGTCACACGTCAAAATTGTCACGCAACATTAAAAGCACAATTGTTGATACAATACTTACATAGATGCTTCTTCGTCATCAGACTGCGTCGTTTCGGTCTCCAAGACGGCGGAGGAGGTTGGTGACGAGCTTATTGGTGGTAGACTCGGCGCTGATGACAGTTCGATTTGTGTTCGAGCTGGGTCAGGAATCAAGTCTAAGTCTAAAAATATAGAAGAAAATCAAGTCTCATTATAGTNTATATCTMTTCCATCATACCTTCAGCAAACTAGCTGCAATGTCCTGTGTTGCATTTCTTAGATCTTCTCCATTGACGGCAAGAATTTGGTCACCTGGGAAGACACGACCATCTCTTTCTGCAACACCACCTTTGACCTGGAAAAGAAGCAAAACTTAAGTTGTTGTGAAAAAATGACAATGCAAGATGATGACGATGATGATTGRCTGATGGATTGATTGGTTGGTTGAGTGACTGATTGAYTGTCTAATTGACTGGCTTATTATTAAGTCGACTGATTGACAGATTGGCTTTACAACAGAGAGATTACAGCAGCATGTCAATTAGTATGGTGAGTCCATAAGATGACAGTGATGATGATGATGATGATGACAATGATGATGATACTAATGTCAATGGTATGTGATACATTCACTGGTGTAGTAAAAACATGATCATTGATATCACACTTACCACATCAGATATGAAAACACCAGTATCATTCCTAACAAAAACAAACAAACAAGATCAACAAACAGATTATCATAATAAATGAGTGACACCTGTCATTATTTACCTTCTGCCAACAATACTGATCCCGAGACCCTGACCWGGAACCTTCAATAACTCAACAGTTATAAAATCAAAAGCATCTATAAAGGAAAGAAAACATTGCTTTATAATTCATAAAAACGTTTAGAAACATCAGCTATTAGTTTGTAGCTCCTCTTTTTGGTCTTCCTGTGATTTTTGGAGGGACAGGAAGCCCGCTAAAAGAGATTAAAAGAGAGAGTAAAAGAGATTAATTACCTTCATCTTTGAATTGAGACTCGTCACGCAGTACTTTAAGCCTGACAATAGCTGGTGTCTGCCGCAGAGCGTTGATTGCCATGTCATGGGTTGCTTCGCGTAAGTCAGCGTTATTCACCTGAAAAGTGTCATCGTTAGACAATCATAAATCAACAAAATATAAAAAAAATAACTGAATTACCTCCAGTATCTGATCCCCTGCCCACAGTCGACCGTCTTTGGCAGCAGCTCCGTCCTCATACACTTCATGGATAACAATAGCTCCCTAAAAACATTTTACGCAAGTTAAAACGGTGTACTTTATTTTACGTTAATGTTTAGATAAGTTTCGACTTTACACTTCCAATATATACGATTCAATGACGTTCTTTGGTAATGCAATTAATACTTCCAATCTATACGATTCAATAACGTTCTTTCGTAATGCAATTAATACGCGTAATTGTCGTTAACGTTTACGCAATAACTCTTAACGTTTCTCAGACGTTCTCACGTTTTGCAAATTGTACGTATGAACGTCATAAACAATTTACGTACCAATAACGTGTCAGCACCACCAACGATACTTAGTCCCAGTCCCGTTGTTCCTTTAGGGATTTCGATCAGACATTCTTGGCCGGGAATTATTGGTGCTCTTCGAGGGTCTGGTACAAACACAGTTGTTGTCAAAGGCGAGGGAACTGCAAATTCAAAAAAGACGCTTTTTATGAGAAATTATTATTATTTCATTAGAAATAAGGAATATAAACTCGTGTTTAAAGCACAAAAAAATGACTGGGGATTCCTTTCTAAAGATTACCTGGAGAGGCCCTGGGTGAGAGTCGGGCTGGGATTTCTTCTGTMACTTCCGGTATAGCTATCGTAGGAACTGGTTGAGGAGGCGCTGTGATTTGCTGTCTCCTAGCAACAACAAGGGACACTTCTCCTTGTGTTTTTTTGAGTATCCCCACAGCCTGAAGACAAAAAAGTTATCAATAATCATAATTTTTGTAAAAAGTATAATTTTAGCGAAGAATGTAAAGAAAAAAGTTATTTTAAATATTTGACTTACCTCGGCATGCGAGAGTCCAACAACTGCTTGGTTATCGACGGCAATAAGCTGGTCGCCCTTTCTAAGTCGACCGTCCTTAATATTAGAACAAAGAACAATACAAAGTAAGAATATGAAAGCTCAACAAGCCACAACAATCTGATTTAAACTGGCTGGTCGCTTTGAAGAGGGTTTTGTGGTCGAAAGCGACTGCGATATACCAGGTTTTGACAAAGATGCGGTCGTTTTATATTTAATAATTTATAATAATAATAATTTATTGATTTATATTGCGCAGTTTCAATACAAATTATCAAATGCGCATTACAATAATATAATACAAATAAAATTATGATATAATACAAATATAAAAATTTAACTACAAGAATGATATAAAATAGAAATATAATGATTATAAATTAGAGAAACATAATAAGATATATAAATTATATATATTCTATAAGAACATCAATTGTGTCTAAAAGCTAATTGAAATAGATAAGTCTTTAGTTTTTTCTTTTATATTTCAGTTCAAGACAAACCTTATCGGCTGCTCCTCCTTCTGTGACACTCTTCACAAATATTCCTTTCTCGCCTTCTCTGAATCCAGGACCTTCCACCACAGCGAATCCAAGACCAGTTGGACCCTAMAAGAGTTAGTAATACATTAAAGTAGAGTTCCCCCCCTGCTTCTTCTAATGACCAACCTTTCCCTCCCTCCACAAGAGTTATCATTGTTATCAAAAGCGTTCCTTACCCTCCACCTCTTAGTATTTTATTACCCACCTTAACCATGTTTATATACTCCACGTGTTGTCCTCCTGACARTTCAGCAAGTAATGTAGGAGACACCGTCTTTGCAGCAACAGGCGGGGGATTGGGCTTAGGAGCAACAGGAGGAGGACTGGGTCTTGAGACATTTTTAGGATCCACAGCCGGGAGATTGGGCTTAGGAGGGGGATTAGGTTTAGGAGCAATGGGCGGAGGAATGGATCGAATCTCAGAGCTCCGTGACGAGCTAGGACTTGGCTGTGCCTCGAATTCGTCGGCTAGCGTGGCTTCAACAGAGGWACTTGCTACTGGTTGAATATTCAGCGGTTTTTCTTCAATTTCATTGGACGCCATGAATTCTGCCGCCTCACGTGACCTGCCAAGAATCAGCTCGACGTCTGAAGAAGTACTCTTGAGGATCGCGGAGGCCTGGTAATGAGACAGTCCRCGTACAGATATTTGGTTGACTTCGAGGATTTCGTCACCTTGAATGATTCGGCCATCGCGCTCGGCGGGTCCTCCTGGTTTGACGTCAACTACAAAGATACGATTGACAGCCGCTCCCTTGCCGCCCGCGATACTCAATCCTAGGGACAGCGGTCGAATAATTAGTATTATTGTAAATTGGCCACAAACATCAATAACACCATAGCCTGCATGTATATAACCTTGGGAAACGCTAGCCGAGAGCCGAGAGCCGAGTCGGAAATTCCTAGCAGTCATTGCACAGTACTTACCTAATCCTGTGTTGCCTTTATGCAGGTCAACGATCAAGTAATGGCCAGTAACGTCAGGGTACTTCCTCTTGAGATCTCCTGAAATATAGAAGACTTAGTGCCCTTCTGTAAACACATTTACGCAAGGATTACGTTGCGTTTTTGTAACGTTTTCAATTACCCACGTCAAGCCGTGGAGAAATGAAGCGAGAACCGAGGTGAATAAGACAAATTTTCAAAGATAAATACAAAATTAAACAGACTTGTTGTTTTGTACTTACTTAACCCAGTATCCCCCTGATAGGTTGATCCCCCTGACTCAGATTGTAAAGTTATCTTATAATCTTGGAAGACATTCGGGTCGATCACGTGTTCAATGACGTCATCTTCGTCCACAGAGAGGTTCTTTGATGGGATAGGGATGTGTTTCTTGAAGTCATCTTCATCCGGGAATGTTGTGGGAGGTGGAGAAGTCCTGGCTGTGGTGACATTGACTGGTGTGACTGTAGCATCCGTCTAAAAAATGTGAATAAATGAATAAATGAATAAATGAATAAATGAATAAATGAATAAATGAATAAATGAATAAATGAATAAATGAATGAATGAATGAATGAATAAATGAATAAATGAATAAATAAAAAATGAAAAATGAATAAATGAATAAATGAATAAAACAACAACACATAGTGATCTCTGATTGGTTAACATGTTTGCTTTATGKGAGCTCAAAATATTCACAMAGATAACATAATACCACTGCAATGAAAGATAAACAGTATCCACAAGATAGACGTCTACGAGTAGCAATGATAATAATATCGTCAGTGTTCATAAATATGTTCTTAAGAAGAATCAAATTCAAATAGATTTGTTACGACTTAAGCCATGAAATAGTCACTAGACTACTTGTAAAAAGTAGCCCGTTTTTTATTGCTTTCCTTTCCCTTGATTGCCAGACAAACATTTCTTGTGCGTTAGTTTGAAAATCTTGTTTTAAACTGAAAGTAAACGCTATCTAAATCTTGCAGAATGTTTTCAAATGCATTAATTTAACGCTGCAACAATTTACGCAGTAAATACACCGAGAACATTTACATAAGTGATGCAAAAAGACCTTAAACTGTTTAAAGTAAACGAAAATAAAACACAAAATACCTCTTGTGGGACGACAGGTTCAAACGAACGTCCCTTGGACCGGCCRAGCCAAAACGGCATCACACTATCAGCTTTCCGTTTTAAATTCTACGTAGACATACTGCGACTCTTTCGCATAGTAAAAGCACTTATTATGGAAACACTTTGGCAATTAAATATTCTGAACAAACAAAGCAATGATTTTTATTTGCTAACGAGAAAGAGTCGAAGAAGAAGTGACGCATGTGTCTTCTCGCGGAACAAATATAGGAATTAATTGGATTAGGAGAATTCTAGAAAAATACTCAGTTAAATCCAAACTAGGATTGGAAGAAAARAGAAAATACTGAGAAGTAGCAACAAACTTGAAAAGTTTTTCATAAGACAATTTTCTCAGTCCAAAATCTGTACGACAYAAGCAAGGAAATTGTGCAAATAGAAAACTTAATAATAAAATTGAATATAAYACGACCATAGCTTTTACTTAATATTAATTGAACACAAATGCCAAATATTCCATGTTTTATCGTAAGTCTTTGAAACGAGTTTTGTTGAATAGTATATTAAGGTGAAGAGTATAGTTTGAAGACCACAACCTCAAAACCACAAACAATAAATTATGCATACGAGATGCTGACGGGCGGTTGTTAGGATACTCAAGGGAAGTATTTCGCAAGAGGAAAAAAAAGGCCGACAGGATTTTGTAATAATCAAACGTGATAGTTTATTGATTAAAAGGTCCATCCATGAAACTTTGCGCGTTTTTTTTTTCAAATAGAAAAATTCACCATCTTTGATTTTGAACCATTCAGAAAGCACCTTTCAACAAGAGAAACGATCGCAAAGGATCTTGGACGAACCTGGGCCTTTAAGGTCAATTGTTCTGGATTTGAGTTCATGACCAGGCGACTAACAT